AGTAAACATTTTTAATGCCTGCCTGAGGCTCTCATATTATCCAAGCCAGTGGAAGATTGCTCAAGTTGTTATGATCCCTAAACCTGGCAAACCTGTAGAGGAAGTGTCGTCATACCGACCAATTAGTCTTCTCCCTCTTCTCAGTAAGATCTTTGAAAGGATTATCATCAATCGTCTCAATCCACACCTAGATAGAGTACTTCCAGAACATCAATTTGGTTTTCGACATAGCCATGGTACCGTCGAGCAAGTACACAGATTGGCAGATACTATCGGTCATACAATTGAAACCAAGCAATATTGTTCGGCTGCATTCCTGGATATTAGTCAGGCCTTTGACAAGGTCTGGCAAGAGGGTCTACTGTACAAAATCAAGAAGTCTCTGCCACACTCCTTTTTTCCAATACTTGAGAGTTACCTAAGCAAAAGATGTTATGAAGTCAAATTCAACGGTGAGACATCAGAATTGTACGAAATACAATCAGGAGTCCCACAGGGCAGCATACTAGGGCCTGTTTTGTATCTTTTGTTTACTGCAGATGTACCCACTCACGCACATACCACCATGGCCACCTATGCGGATGACACTGCAATTCTGGCAGTGGATAAGGATCCAGATATCGCTTCGGAAACCCTGCAAAATCACCTTAATGAAGTTGAAACATGGCTGAAACAATGGAGAATAAAGGCTAATCAAACCAAGTCAGTCCATGTCACTTTTACCTTAAGAAAAGGAAACTGCCCTCCTGTTCTACTTAATGGCGAACAAATACCGCAAGACGAAACTGCTAAATATCTTGGCATGCATCTCGACAGAAGATTAACTTGGAGGAAACACATCTGGACCAAAAGAAAACAGCTCGACACAACTCTTCGAAATATGTACTGGTTGATCGGTAAAAACTCAAAACTATCGAATGAAAGTAAAATGGCAGTATACAAGGCTATCCTGAAACCGATCTGGGCATACGGTATTGAGCTCTGGGGAACAGCAAGTACCAGCAATATAGAAATTCTGGAAAGGTTCCAAATGAAGGCAATGAGATGCATGTACAATATACCCAAAAGCATTAGCAACAAATACATTTTACAAGACCTAAGGCTAAAAACTGTTAGAGAAGAAATTTCTCAGAGAGGCTCAAACTATCAGAAAAAGCTATCTAATAATATAATAATAATAAATTTTATTGCTCAAGAAAAAAGAGAAAATACATGATTTGTTACATCAAGTGTACGAGTTCCTTTTACATTTAATTTGATGATTAATGTCCCCTATACTAGGAAAATCCTGTATTATAGGAGACATCCATTCGTGCGTAGTTACTTTTACAATTATTCAGTAAACCAAACGTGTAACATTAAACAATAATTTATGTACGTGTGAGCACGTGTGTGTGCGGAGTATGTGTAGTGTAGTGTGTGTGTGATTTTGATAGGAAGAGTGTGATTGTGTTTGTGTATATGTGTGATGGTGTCTACACCAGTGTATGTTTTGTATGATGATTTTAATCTGTCAAACACCAAGCGGTCACCGGTGACCGCGACCTATTGTTCTTTAATTGTGTCTATAAAACCGGTACTCGACGAGTTAATATTGAAATCATACGGAGGGTTTTATCAGTGCTTCTGTCTCGTCATAACTTAAGCCAAGTAGAAACGTTTTAACTTTTTTCTTGCATATAAATGTATTTTGGGAGTGGATGTCTAGCTTTTGGTGCATTTTGTTGTAGAGGCGTGCACTTAGGTAGGTAAAGTGTCGCTTAGCGAAAGTAGTGTTTGTGTTTGTTGTGGGGCATGGCGGTTTCGATCTTCTTCCCGCTGTTGGGTTGGTATTTCTGGTATACGGGACGGTGGCATGCTTTTTCATGACTGAGCGGAAGATGTAAAGTTGTCGGACTGTTAACTTTTCAAACTCTGCATATAATATCTAAGCATGTCAATGCCCTTGCTTCTAAGTTATCGGGATCTGGAAGTATCCAATTTGCAAGACTGAAGAGGAGCAGTGTACCTAACCTCATAGACCGATTTAACAGCTAGTAGGAAGGGAAATTCATTGGATACTTCTCTTCAATGCAATATGCCACACTCAGACAATGAGTCAGCCAAGAAAGCGGCTAAATGTTTTATAAACAGATTGCGGTGTTGCGGGATATAAAATAGAAAAAAAAAAAAAAAAAAAAAAAAAATTAGACCAGGAACGCTTTTGAACGTCACCAAAATATTTTTCTCATTCCAAGGTGTAAATTCCCATTGAGACAAAGCTACGAGTAAAATACTCCATAGGTTACTCTGTTTTCAGTCAGCAGTCCACTGCACGCACACATACAAGCAAACATACTTAATTAGTCTATACGCAGTCAGTCAGTAGGGATGTGCTGTAACATTATTGTGATTATGGTATGAGTAGTGTATAATTGGGGTTTCTGGATCAAAAGAGATCCATCAACCCCCAATTATACATTAATTTAAATGAGACATCTATTCAAATAATGTAATTTCATTTATTTAAATACCACTTCTAGTCTGATATATTGTTTTCGTGATCTGATCATATGTCTATTTTAGAACTGGTGCAAAATCATCTGACCTAATCAGATCTGTTTTCTGTAAACTTATAGTTTTTATATTTTATGTAAGTATAGAATAATGTTCTAATCTGATGTGATCTGTTTTCCGTGGGTAAGAGTATACATTATATTTTAATTCTGAGTACCTATTATTGTAATCTGATATGATCTGTATCTTCAACCTGTTCCTAATCATAATATTTAGCGGTTAAATGAAATTTTATTACGAATCTTCATTTAACAAGAAAAAAACAAGACCGGTATAAATATTAACGACACTTTGTCTTTGCGGTTGAAGAACATGAAATTTAGCATTGAATTGTGTTGTGATCAGATCTTAACCATTAAGCCAAACGTGTCGTCAAATATGTAGCAAAATAGCGGGCTACTTTATGCCCTTTGTTTATTTTTAACGATACACGTATTGTATGACATCATTCAATATTCATTCGATGCACTTTCTTATATGGTTTTCATTGTATTCACTTAATCAATACTTTGATTCAAACATCTGTGTGAAAACTAAACCATGAACTGTAGGAATTACTATTAATCGACATTTTATAAATAAAACAAGAAAAAAAATACTTGAAACAATTTATTAGTTAATTAGATTATTTATTCCATATACTTTATACACCATTTACTTAAACAGAGAACGTTTTTCAAGGCACATACTGAATCATGATAAACACAACTATACAGATCATGACAGTTTTTATATTCTTCATATAAATTTAATAAACTAGGACAACCTTTATCTTCTAAGTTATTAACGTTAATACTTTTTACAATGTTTCTTAACCACGACATTTTTTCTGAACCTTTAACATAAACACATTTATCTCTTAAAATATTTACAATCAAATGTTTATAATTTAAATAAGGCACAATTCCTTCATTCCAGTGTATCTTTCTATTGCGCTCGATCCAACTTACTTGTCGCCGTTCTTGTTTAGTCAAATCGTAAAATGGGAATGGAGGTTTTATTAGAAATACCTGTATTTTTTTATCACATAATATCGCAATTTCCTTTATTATAAATTCGTTAACTTCGGTTTTGAAACCTTGAACATCTACAATTGCAGTCATGATAGCCTGCGCACAATGTTACTTAAAGGTTTGTATTCCACAAGTCGATCGTTAATAATTAAACAATAAGCAGTTGTATTGTCTGGTATCAATGTTGAACACTCAAATTCCAACCTTACGTCTACCGGGCCAGTTTTTAAACTGTCATTTTGCCTTGAACAATCTATGATAAAGAGTGGTGCTTTTTCTTTCAAATCTTTCAGTTCAAGCAACGGGTCGACTGGGCTGTTATAATACGACTGACGAAATCTCACATACATTTCATATAATATACTGTACTTATTTTCAGAAAATTTTAAGCCTAAAGGTTCATAAGGGTAATACTGAGAATTCAAAAATAGCGTTACGCTTGTCACATCACAATGATCAAATACTGAGCTGTCTTTCGATTTATTATTTTTTCTATTAGTCTGTAAGCAGAAAATTACATATCTTGGTTTTTCTAATTGTGAAGCCGTTTTAACTGACCAAGAATGCTTTGTAGATTTGGGTAGTAGAGGATATTCATACAAATCCCAATTCCTAAATGCCATTTGAATAGGTTTATCTTTTTCCAAATATTTCAAAAGTGTGAGTCGTTCTCGATCTGACACTTTTATATGTGGCACTCTCCACTGCACCCTTTGTATATTTATTTGAAAATTTGTAACATCATCGCTAAGGATAACACTGTTTAAATTAAAATTGCTTCTGTTCATTATAAGCTCGTGTTTACAATTAATTACAATTTTATTATAATCCTCAGCAAACCCTAAAATTTTATTTAAGGGTACTACAAAACTAAAATGACCATCGCTTTTAAAACCGGTTAAATTCCAACCCCATAAGGCTGCAACTTTATTTTCTGCTTCATTTAATGAAATGTATGACTTTATTGTTGATGATATGCCAGAATTTTTCATACGGTCTATTTCAATTCCATTTATTTCGTATCTGATGTCTTGAAACAAGAACATAAGAGGATTATTAGTGAACGTAACCACTTTTTTGATCGGGTTTCCATCTTTTCCGATGAGTTTTGCTTCACCTTCAATGTAAATCGAGCTGGCCGATGGCAGTACATATATATCTTGCTGATGTATGGGAATTCTGATTTCATCATTTTCTCTAAAACTGTTATTGTATGGATTGTAAGAATGAACTTCGTAACTTTCGATCGAAGTGTCAAAGTGTGGTAATTCACAAACCTGTAATATATTCATATCTGGAAGCCTAGCGCCTTTAGAAAATCTTTATTCGACTTTGTCAATTTTTTCACTGTTTGGTTACGTCCTTGCACTTTAGACGTCTTGGAAGGAATAAGCCGCTTTACATTAACTGCTGGGTTTTTATAATATAAAATCATTTTATCTTTTTTAAATGAAGACGTAGTTCAATTTGTTGTTTTCCAAAGTCAATGCTGTGACCGAATTGGTCAACAATCTTAATAGATATAGATGGGATTAATGTTTTGTTTACAGGCAAATAGATAACGTTTTGCGGTGATTCTATGCACCAATTACCCGGAGCGGTACTAGACATAAATTCGTGAATCACATGAGTTGGTAATCCGTTGGAGTATGAACCATGTACGAGATCACATTCAATTCTAAGCACAGGTTGAATATTATTACGAAAATGTTGCACTGAGTTCAATACAGAAAAAGATAGCAAACCGCACTCATATTGACCAAATAAGGTCAAAGGTGGTTGAAAGTATGAAGTCAATTCTGATTTATTTCCGGAGATGGTGACCGTTATAGACATACTTTTATACTGAACTATAATGAGATATACTATTTATTTTATTCTGTGCGCATCCCAAAATTTCCTTAAAAAAATTAAGCAAAGATGACCACAATTAAAAGGGTGGTCACGTTGTACATCATCATAATTATAGTTAACTTTAGAACCTAAATATTTTATCAATTCTTTTGGAGGTTTAAGATTACCATAACTATCAAAATATTCTATATAATCATTATATTTTACATAGGCTACCCAATGAGATCCAGGATTTTTAGAACTATCTAAATTAATGACCCCACATTCTTTTTTAAAAGGTTGTATTGGAAGTTCATCTCGCATAAACACTCCTCGAAAATGAGGAATACCATTCCCATATTTTAAAATGTCAAAGTTATTTAAGGGACGATTAGGTAGCCGATACTTTAGTTTTTTTGTTTCGATACATAAATATTTAGTCCATCTTTATGAGGTTTAAGATGTAATCCTTTTCCAATGCAAAGAGCTTCCATTTTTTCGTTGTGTCTCTTCAATTCCGCAAAATGCTTTTTAGCAATCTTGAATTCATTAATAGTCTTAGCAATACCAGCTGCACCACCTGTTAATGCTCCTACCGCTGATAATCCCGCAAAAATAGGAATTAAAGGTAATACTCCACCAGTTTTTGGTATAGGAATAACGCGAGGAAGTGTAATAGATGAATCATCAATCATTTCTCTAGCAGCAGCCATAGCTAATTCAATTGCCATTTTCTTGCCTTTTGGCTTTAATTTTTGGAGGTGTTTTTTTGTTTTAGAAATAAAATTTTTAAATTTATTTTTTACGTTTAAATAAATTTTTCTTGAAGTGTTTTTTTTACGATCATTATTTAAACCAGTTCCAGTTTTAATTTTAGCTAACATAGCTTTATTCACCACATGAGCTGCTATCTTCTCACTTACACTCGCATCAGAAGCATTTGCGCGTGCTTTTGCCATTTTTAATAAAACTAAATCTGCTTTGTGTCTTTCTTTCAAGTTTGATGATCTATGATAAGCAATATCGTGGTCTTTGCAATATTCGTCTAATTTATTTATACCTTTATCACCACGTATAAGTCTCTTAATTAATTTGGTTCCAGGTCCACAATAATTGTATCCAGGTAGATGTAATTCAAATGGTAAATTATTTATAAACCAGTTGAGAAGACTAGTCTCTCCTAAGTACATAATAATACTGATTAATTGTGGTTGTAACGATTAATATATATGTTCTATTACAATATATTCGACTTATCTATCCAGCTATTTTCGGTAGGGGGCAAACCAAGCCATTTTACTAATACCTTGTTTCCTTTCCTCCTCAGAACTTTTTCAACTAAGTATACATTAGGATGTTTTTTTTTTGAAGTTCTTGTGTATAAAATGCTCCTAAAATAGGTTGACCTCTGATTGTATCTTCGATTAAATAAGTGATGGGAGCCGTGTTTTGTATTTTTCTAATTTTAAATACTTCTGTCGACCAATTAGGAGTATATCCCTTTTCGAATGTTCCTTTGTACTTACTGATCCGTACATAGTCACCCACTCTGAACATACTCTTTGTATTATTTTTTTTTATCGACATTAGATGTCTTTTTAATATACGTGTTTTATTAGTATTATTAACCTTTGCGGGAATTTCATCAATTGTTCGATGTTTGGTGTGGTTATATTTATATGTGACGTCATTGAGAATATCATTTATCCAATTATAATTACCCTGTAAACTAAATGCTTTGTATAATTCGGACTTCAATGTTCTGTTAAATCGTTCAACTATTGAAGCTTTTTTTGTCGAAAAAGTTGAATAATGATTAATATTATTTGATTTTATAAGACTTTGAAATTTACTATTATAAAATTCTGTTCCGTTATCAGTTTGTACATTTTTAGGAACACGTCCTTTATCCAACAAATTTTCACACTTTGACACTTCGATCGAAAGTTACGAAGTTCATTCTTACAATCCATACAATAACAGTTTTAGAGAAAATGATGAAATCAGAATTCCCATACATCAGCAAGATATATATGTACTGCCATCGGCCAGCTCGATTTACATTGAAGGTGAAGCAAAACTCATCGGAAAAGATGGAAACCCGATCAAAAAAGTGGTTACGTTCACTAATAATCCTCTTATGTTCTTGTTTCAAGACATCAGATACGAAATAAATGGAATTGAAATAGACCGTATGAAAAATTCTGGCATATCATCAACAATAAAGTCATACATTTCATTAAATGAAGCAGAAAATAAAGTTGCAGCCTTATGGGGTTGGAATTTAACCGGTTTTAAAAGCGATGGTCATTTTAGTTTTGTAGTACCCTTAAATAAAATTTTAGGGTTTGCTGAGGATTATAATAAAATTGTAATTAATTGTAAACACGAGCTTATAATGAACAGAAGCAATTTTAATTTAAACAGTGTTATCCTTAGCGATGATGTTACAAATTTTCAAATAAATATACAAAGGGTGCAGTGGAGAGTGCCACATATAAAAGTGTCAGATCGAGAACGACTCACACTTTTGAAATATTTGGAAAAAGATAAACCTATTCAAATGGCATTTAGGAATTGGGATTTGTATGAATATCCTCTACTACCCAAATCTACAAAGCATTCTTGGTCAGTTAAAACGGCTTCACAATTAGAAAAACCAAGATATGTAATTTTCTGCTTACAGACTAATAGAAAAAATAATAAATCGAAAGACAGCTCAGTATTTGATCATTGTGATGTGACAAGCGTAACGCTATTTTTGAATTCTCAGTATTACCCTTATGAACCTTTAGGCTTAAAATTTTCTGAAAATAAGTACAGTATATTATATGAAATGTATGTGAGATTTCGTCAGTCGTATTATAACAGCCCAGTCGACCCGTTGCTTGAACTGAAAGATTTGAAAGAAAAAGCACCACTCTTTATCATAGATTGTTCAAGGCAAAATGACAGTTTAAAAACTGGCCCGGTAGACGTAAGGTTGGAATTTGAGTGTTCAACATTGATACCAGACAATACAACTGCTTATTGTTTAATTATTAACGATCGACTTGTGGAATACAAACCTTTAAGTAACATTGTGCGCAGGCTATCATGACTGCAATTGTAGATGTTCAAGGTTTCAAAACCGAAGTTAACGAATTTATAATAAAGGAAATTGCGATATTATGTGATAAAAAAATACAGGTATTTCTAATAAAACCTCCATTCCCATTTTACGATTTGACTAAACAAGAACGGCGACAAGTAAGTTGGATCGAGCGCAATAGAAAGATACACTGGAATGAAGGAATTGTGCCTTATTTAAATTATAAACATTTGATTGTAAATATTTTAAGAGATAAATGTGTTTATGTTAAAGGTTCAGAAAAAATGTCGTGGTTAAGAAACATTGTAAAAAGTAAGTAGTGTATAATTGGGGTTTCTGGATCAAAAGAGATCCATCAACCCCCAATTATACATTAATTTAAATGAGACATCTATTCAAATAATGTAATTTCATTTATTTAAATACCACTTCTAGTCTGATATATTGTTTTCGTGATCTGATCATATGTCTATTTTAGAACTGGTGCAAAATCATCTGACCTAATCAGATCTGTTTTCTGTAAACTTATAGTTTTTATATTTTATGTAAGTATAGAATAATGTTCTAATCTGATGTGATCTGTTTTCCGTGGGTAAGAGTATACATTATATTTTAATTCTGAGTACCTATTATTGTAATCTGATATGATCTGTATCTTCAACCTGTTCCTAATCATAATATTTAGCGGTTAAATGAAATTTTATTACGAATCTTCATTTAACAAGAAAAAAACAAGACCGGTATAAATATTAACGACACTTTGTCTTTGCGGTTGAAGAACATGAAATTTAGCATTGAATTGTGTTGTGATCAGATCTTAACCATTAAGCCAAACGTGTCGTCAAATATGTAGCAAAATAGCGGGCTACTTTATGCCCTTTGTTTATTTTTAACGATACACGTATTGTATGACATCATTCAATATTCATTCGATGCACTTTCTTATATGGTTTTCATTGTATTCACTTAATCAATACTTTGATTCAAACATCTGTGTGAAAACTAAACCATGAACTGTAGGAATTACTATTAATCGACATTTTATAAATAAAACAAGAAAAAAATACTTGAAACAATTTATTAGTTAATTAGATTATTTATTCCATATACTTTATACACCATTTACTTAAACAGAGAACGTTTTTCAAGGCACATACTGAATCATGATAAACACAACTATACAGATCATGACAGTTTTTATATTCTTCATATAAATTTAATAAACTAGGACAACCTTTATCTTCTAAGTTATTAACGTTAATACTTTTTACAATGTTTCTTAACCACGACATTTTTTCTGAACCTTTAACATAAACACATTTATCTCTTAAAATATTTACAATCAAATGTTTATAATTTAAATAAGGCACAATTCCTTCATTCCAGTGTATCTTTCTATTGCGCTCGATCCAACTTACTTGTCGCCGTTCTTGTTTAGTCAAATCGTAAAATGGGAATGGAGGTTTTATTAGAAATACCTGTATTTTTTTATCACATAATATCGCAATTTCCTTTATTATAAATTCGTTAACTTCGGTTTTGAAACCTTGAACATCTACAATTGCAGTCATGATAGCCTGCGCACAATGTTACTTAAAGGTTTGTATTCCACAAGTCGATCGTTAATAATTAAACAATAAGCAGTTGTATTGTCTGGTATCAATGTTGAACACTCAAATTCCAACCTTACGTCTACCGGGCCAGTTTTTAAACTGTCATTTTGCCTTGAACAATCTATGATAAAGAGTGGTGCTTTTTCTTTCAAATCTTTCAGTTCAAGCAACGGGTCGACTGGGCTGTTATAATACGACTGACGAAATCTCACATACATTTCATATAATATACTGTACTTATTTTCAGAAAATTTTAAGCCTAAAGGTTCATAAGGGTAATACTGAGAATTCAAAAATAG